TCAGTTTTGATAAAAATCTATCCAGATCTTCCCATTCTGGGACAAGAAGAGAGTCATGGCACAATACTGGAACTGGTGGACGCAGTCTGGCTGGCCAAGAAAGGGAGGTGCCCTGCTGTCACCTTGGAAAGGCCTTCTGCAGTCTCTCTGCCTTCAAGAGGCCCTCCTGCCCTCCATGATTCTTTCCACATCCAGGCGATCCCTGAGCCCTTGCAAAGAAGGGGGGTAGTTAGATGGCCGAATCAGCCACCTGTGTGCTCTCCAGGGTGAGGGCAGCACAGAGGCAGTCCTTGCTCCCGTGTTCCTTTCATGCTTGATTGCTTGACTTTGGATTGCACCCTAAAAAGATTTGGGTATGGGAGAAACCAAAGGGGATAGATTCATCCACTGAAGCCCTCAACTATGAGTGCTTTGCCCCTTCAAGTTCTGTTTTTGGATCCCTCTGTATTCTCCCTCATTTTTTCTTTTATTTAGATATGAGCGCATTAAGATTAATCCAGTTTATCGTACCTGTGAGAGAAAAATCTTCGGATTTCAAACAATCCAGTGTGACCTGGAATTTGTCCCTCTAATGTTTGCAGACCACTTCTTCTGCCTGGCCCCGTCTTAGACAATGGGCTGAAACCTGCAAATGCTCCCAAGACAAAGGGTGTGCAACCAGCAGCCGTCCCTGCACCGTGGGCTGCGTCACGGGATGTGGAGAGGGATGCTGCTTGTGCCTGGCCCGATTTGGGGCACATGCTGGGTGCGCTCACCAGGACTCCATCTTACAGTTGCAACAGAGCAGCCCCAAGCCTGGGGAGATGAGCCCAGGGAATCTGAGGGGTTCCCACCCCCACAGGAATGTGGGTACAGCACTGCAGCCTCAGGATGTGTGAAGAAACCATTTCGAGGTGGTATCTGCTAGATTCCCCGACTTGGCTCCCTGGACACTGGTTTGCCTTGCAGCGGCCCTGAAGCCCAATTCCTGGTGCGTTTAGACACATTTTGCAGGGCGCGCACTGGGAACTGAGCCCCACATGCTGCAGAAGCCGTGACCTCCTTCCGTGCCACCTGCAGCAGCTTGTAAGTACTAGGGGGACAGATTCTGTTAGGGTTAATCCCAGCCCTCTTGCAGCCTATGTGCAAAATTCAGCATGAGGAGGGCCAAGCAGGGGCCTCCTCCCCCACATCATATGGAATAAGCTGGAAAAATAGTTGGGATCTTGCTAGATGCACCTGTACTGCCCAAGCCCTCTGGATTGCTTGCCAAGCGTAGGCACAGATGGGCATCATCCCTCAAGAGGGTCCACTGGCAACAGCCTCCTGGAGTTGTGCCTTCTCTTGGCCTGTGCAAGCTGGAGATGCCACGACAGACTTGCTCCAGGCGCTCTGCCTGCCTGCCTGCCTGCCAAGCAAGCAAGCAGGAGCAATGATGGGAAAAGGGAGGAGGGGAAACAGCAGCTGGGAGGGGCATGACGGTAAATTTTGATGAGAGATGCCTATCGTGACAGAGCCCTTAGCCACACTCCCAAGAAGAGCCCCCATTGCAAGCAGCATCCCCAAACCCATTCCGACTAGGGACAGGTCCTCTGTGGAGCAAATGGTTTTAATCACCCATTCAGGAGGGACCCACCCCAACATTCTTTGCATCAAGGTAGAGAATGCTTATGTTGTTGCTTAGGAACAGGGAATTCTGAGTAGGGTGGCAGATGACCTCAGGTCCCTGCTACTAAAGAAGGTGCTGGTGCTTCATCCCTGTGAGCCTGGCTCTGCTACACCACTGATCCCAGGCGAGAACGGGGGCAAGAAGGCAGGCAGCCTGAAGGAGGTGGCCCTTCTTGCTGGACAGCTTCTTGCTCAAATGCCCACAAGCCTGTGGCACCAGAATGGGGTCCAGCAACTGAATGCCAGAGCCCCATCTGCCCCAGCCAAGAATACAAGGCGTTGCCTCGCACTGTCAGCCACCAGGGAACTGTGGTTCCTAGCCTTTGCAGGCAGCCTCCAAAAGTCTGTCATGCCTCCCTCCTTTCCTGTAAGTGGCTTTTCTATAAAACCACTTGCTGGGTGGTGGCATGAGCAGGGGGAAGAGGACAATATTGAGAAATCCACGGCACTGAGTATTGTGCTGCCTTTTCGGATCAGTTACAGGAATATTTCTAAATATTCTGAAACAAAACTGCAGGGTAAATATCAATGATCAGTATAAGGCAAAGAATGTGTCCTTTCCCAGGCTCAGAAAGCACTCAAGACATTTGTCACTCCAAAGGGAAAAAGGGAAGTGGGAAATTCCAGGTCCCTGTTCTGATCCCACCATGGGCTTTACTGAAATTCCAAGAAGTCTGAAACAGAAAACAACCAGTTCTATACAAACAGCTCACTGGGATCACACTCTATCCCCAAGATCTTGGCTGCACTCCCAAACATATTTACTGATTGCCAGGAGAACAGAAAGTAGATCTCGGATGCTTCTGGGTTTCAATTTCCTGCATTCCTGACCATTGGTCATGCTAGCGCGAACACCTGGGAATTGAAGTCCAGAACAATGTACCTCCTGCTACTAGGGAGTAAGCCTGCCTAAGCACAGTGAGACTTACTTCCCACTATGCACACATACGATGGCGCTGTTAACCATTCGAGCTCACAAACTGTGCAGCGCCAGCTGTACCTGCTTTAATACGTGCAGGGGCAGCCTTCTCAGCCTTGGATGCTCACTGATGTGCACTGAAACAGAACCTATCACTGTGGGATCTTACCTGCCAAGAATACCTGCTCGGCTGCCAAAATACTGCCTCTCACGTTTGAGGCCTTGGTCCTATGAATTTGCTTGTGTCATGTAGTCCATGTTGTTTGGTTGTTTGGTTGTTTCTGGTTGTTTGGGAAGACTGTGATGGAAATGTCGCAGACTTCTTTCCTTTTGTTAAAAAAAATAACAGATTGTTAGCATATACATGGGGTGTCAATGGCCCCTTGTACATGACTTCTTGGACCTCCTGATGAAAGTGAAAGAAGAAAGTGCAAAAGGAGGACCATAGCTGAGTATTAAGGGAAAAATCATGACTATGGTAGAGCTTAGTAAGACATTAGAGGACTGAGACTTGGAAAGACAGCCAAGAATGAGCTAGAAAAGGTTATCAAGTATAAGGACATTTCACTGGAGACCCAAGCCAAGTTCATCCACTGTTCAATTCCCAGCCACTATGTCTGGGTGTGAAAGCTGGACAGCGAAGAAAGGTTACAGGAAGAAAATGGATGTATTTGAAACATGGAGCTGGAAGAGAGCATCGCAAATAACCTGGACTGACAGGAGGACGAACAAGTGGGTCCTAGATCAAATCAACCCAAAACTTGCCGTGCAAGCAAAAATGACGAAAAGAAGGATGTCATACTTTGGCATATCCCGAGAAGGCAAGGCTCACTGGAGAAGGCAGTCATGCTGGAAAAAGTCGAAGGCAAAAGGAGGAAGACAAGGGATTGATTCTATGAAGGGATTGGCCACAACCACAGCCTTGAGCTTACAAGAGCTGAGCGGAGCTGCTAAGGACAGAACATTTCGGAGGGCGTCATTCATATGGTTGCCATGAATTGGAGGACTCGACAGCACATAACATCAAGTCCACAATACTTGATGAAGCACCTTTCCCAGCGGCCATCTCCCTGGACCCTATTCTCAGCATCTGCGGTGCCTCCACCAATGGAACGTCCTCCCCACTGCAGCCCGCCCAGCACCAGTCTTGCCATCTTTTCAGCACCAGGTGAAGCCAACCCTTTATGCTCTTTCAAGAGGCTTGAGGGGATTACCCATCCCAGGAGTATTTGTTTTGCAGGATTATCCTTCACTGCATTTTTGTTTCCCTTTTGATAATATTTTATTGCATCATTTTTATGTACTATGGGGAACCATCAGAGAGCTTCAGCCATTGGGTGGTAAAGAGATGCTGATGATGCTAATGACAGACTTTCCTGGAAGCAGTGACTCCTTTGGTTACTTCACACAGCCAGGTCCTCATTGTGACCCAAGCATCTTTTCCATGTAAATGCCATCAGCCTTAAGGTGACTTACTCTGAAGTAAACAAGTCTGGGATTGTAGCTGGGATCAGTTAGATTTGTACTGGGGTTTATCAAAGCTCAGCCCCGGTTCCTGAGGAAATAGTAACAGGTACAGAGCACCATTTGCTTAACCACTAAGACACTGCAGGATATGTCCCAAACCATGGGTGAGAACAGTTAGGGTGGTCCCTCTCCCCAGGGAACCATGAGTGTGCTGCAGGAATTCTGTCAATTAAATTGTTAAAAGTATTGTTTGTATCCAAGGCAAACCCCTCCAAAGGAGGCTGCAGGCTGTGTCTCTGCATGATTCTCTAGCCTTGATCAGACAGTTCATCAAAGGTTAATTCACCCTCAAGGGGCCATGGAGCCTCAAGGGCCAGTGGTCAGTGGTGATGGGAGTTCCTCTCCACACCTATGTAATCATGTAGAAGGACATTGCCAGGATCTTACAGGATTTACAGGTGACACACATGCTGGTGACTTCCCACCTAGACTTCTGTAATGCGCTTTACGTGGGGCTTCCCCTGAAGACGGTCCGAACACTTCAATTGGTGCAAAATAGAGCTGCCAGGTTGCTGACGGGGACGGGGCGTTATGCTCACATGACTCCAGTCCTCCGTCCGCTTCACTGGCTTCCCATTGAAGCCCGGGCCCAATTCAAGGTGTTGGTTATGACCTATAAAGCCCTAAACGGCTTGGGTCCTGGCTACC